TGAATAGTGACAGTTAAAGGTAAAAAAGTGATTTTTCGTTAAAAGTGTACAGTATCGGGAGTGTTTTATTAAAACTCCCTTAATCTAACCCTACTCGATGTGAGAACGAAATAAAGGGGTTTTTCGATCAAACCAAGGTTTTTGTCCTTGCGTTTAATTTGAATCTTAAAGAAAAAAAAGAGGAACCAAGTTTTTTTTTGTTCTCATTTGCTATATATGATTAAAGTGCCGACCATTATATATAGCAACTTGTTGTCTTTTTGGACGGTTCATTTTGTGTCAATTATGATTGTAATTGAGTTGTATGCAACCATGCAAATGGCGGGGACAACTTAACATCTTTTTGGTTTCTAATCTTTAGCTTAAATGTGTTTAGACGAGAGATTTTTAGAAATAATTGCGATATTTCTTGAGTTTCTGTTTGGGCCCAAAATAATATTATTGGGCAAAGCGTAGGTTTATGTTCGGTCTGAAGCTTTGAATAAAATATTATGGGCCGTCCAGTGGTCATAAACCGCCCAGTCAGGTTGGTCGAGTCCTATTGCAAGAGGGATTGGACTGGATAAGAGTGAATGGGTCGAATCCTAGTATGATAAGGAGTCTTAATGGAGTGAGCATGCTAAGATCTAAGAAGTGAATGAGGCCAGATAAAGAGTTTGGTTCAAAGTCCTAATGGAGGTAGGAGTGGCCGAGACATGGTTAGATTAAGATAAAGAATCCTAATCCGGGTATAGTTCTGGTTCGGCCATGATAAAGTTGGCTGCTATAAATAAGGAAGGGGGTGTATCATTCTAAGGCCTCTCCAACTCAACACACAAACTGTCATGCGCAAACTCTCGCTCTACACGAAACCTCTCAACAACCTTGACATTTTTATTTTCTTTTTCGATGACACATCTTCAATTTGAATAAACAACACTGTTAAGGCAACCGGCGAACACCTTCAGTTTGGATAAACAACACTGTTGTCGTAGAATCAGTCGACCACGAAGCACCTTCAGTTTGGATAAACAGCACTGCGTCAAGGCTGACTGATTATCTATCCAAGTCTCGGTCGAGAAGGATTTTCGGATCCTTATTGGAAGATGTCATCTCATTAGCCTTCTCGGCGAAGTGGGGTGTTACAAATTACTGGGCTTGACACATTGAACGCCGAGTTGTTTTATGATTGGATACTCATAAGCAGGATTTAAAGTTTGGAATTCTGATGGCCGAGCTACGTTTACGATTAAGACGTACATTTACTTTGAGTACTTGTGTCCATTTAGTTTGGTGTCGATTTGGCGTGCTTATACTCTTACGAATATAATTACTGTGACCGAATCCAGCGCCGACGATTTGTGAACTTCGCAGAACTAGCAATCTTGTCTTCAGGCTCTAAAACCTGAAGGCCGAGACGTGTTCCTTCCTCAGCTGCAGTTGCAAGATTAAGAAGTCAGCAGCGCGCCACATAATACATTCTACTCCTCAACCGAGCTCGATTGACGAGTTGGCACGCCCCGCACACAACCGAATGACGTAGTTAGCTTATTAATTACTCGGCATGCGTGCCACATAAGTTTGATAGTTTTTAAGGTTAACAGTTTCATAGCAAAACTCTCGACGATGAGAGGGACATGCAGTAGCGAAGGTAGGTTTTGTATCTATCATGGCGAGTCACAAGCTTAAAAGTAAGTGATTTCACTCTCAGTATATAGCTATACTCTATATGTAACATCCCACATCGCCTAGGGGAGTGGATCCTGTAAGCCTTATATGTATATTCCCATCTCCACCTAGCATGAGGCCTTTTGGGAGCTCATTGGCTTCGGGTTCCATCAAAACTCCAAAGTTAAGCTAGTTCGCAAAAAAGCAATCTCATGATGGGTGACCCACTAGGAAGTTCTCGTGTGAGTTCCCAGAAACAAAATTGTGAGGGTGTGGTCGGGGTTCAAAGTAGACAATATCATGCTACGGCGGAGTCGAACTCGGGATGTGGTGGGGGCCCGGGCCGGGATGTGACAATTTGGTGTCAGAGCCAATCTTTGGCCGGAAGTGTGCCGATAAGGACGTCGGGCCCCTAAGTGGGGTGGATTGTAACATCCCACATCACCCAGGGGAGTGGATCATGTAAACCTTATATGTATATTCTCATCTTTACCTAGCACGAGACCTTTTGGGAGCTCACTGGCTTCGGGTTCCATCGGAACTCTGAAGTTAACCGAGTTCGCACGAGAGCAATCCCATGATGAGTGACCCACTGAGAACTTCTCATGTGAGTTTCCAAAAACAAAACCGTGAGGGCATGGTCGAGGCCCAAAGCGGACAATATTGTGCTACGGCGGAGTCGAGCCTGGGATGTGGTGGGGGCCGAGGAAAAAAAGAACCCTAGACATCCTCCGGTGTATAAACAGCTCTGCCACTTAATTATACAACTTATTAATTTTAATCTTTAGCCGTTATACTCATATATGTTTTGATATACTACTGAGATATTTCTAAGTTAAACAAAATACGTACAACGAGAAGGACATGAATCATCAATTAAAGTCGACTTTGGGATTTAAACAAATTATATTATATGATCTTTGAACCGTGGTCCAAGATCTCATGGATGATATCAATAACTAGTAAAACAAAGGTTATACTCTTTCTTACGAAGTTGGAAACTTGGACATGGTCATTCTAAAACTAGCTTACTTATTACCTAGTAACGGTCATAAACTGCCAGAGTTGCAATCTTAATCCTCGATTTTTCTTTCGTGTTATCTTAACTCTAAAACTTGTCTATTTCTTTGCTTAAATCATGTACCAGATTTGCTATGGATTCTGTGCATCTTCCACTTAAATATTTATACACTCCTATATAGCCAGAAATTGATGTGTTTGGTACTAGTTGCTATATGCCACCAACAAGACTAATTAAGTTCTTACTTGCATGATTAAGACTCATTAATCAAAGGCGGTAGTATTTTATGTCATTTCAAACCTTATCTGAAATCTGAGTTTCTTTCTCTGATGTAGACTCTTGTTCAAAGAAAGGGTTTAAACTGGAGTGTTAAACTTACCTATCGCACTAACATATTGTTCAATATGTAATTAACCCCCGCGCGCGCGCGCACACACATATATATATAATATCTAATAATATATTTATTCTGTCCAACACGTATACACCAAATCAAGTTTAAGGGTGCGTATTTGATATGTATTTGAAACCCATGAATGATTAATATTGCGAAGTCAATTTGCTTTGTGGTGCGTGAGATTTGATATTGTGATAGTTGAGGTTGGATATTACGTGTGTTAGTCTGCTCTCATAACTTGAAGGAAGTTGATTTCAACTCAAAAATCAATTGACAATATGGATTGTAACTCATGCAATGTCTTAATTCCACGATATATGATTCACTCTCATAATTTCAAATATCAAGCACCAGTCAGCTACTAATTATAAGCCAGATCAATATAGCTAGCTTTACGGATATTATCTTGTCCGATCTTTTTGCGTAATCCAAATCTGGAAAATGGCAACACATGAGATAGATTCGGTAATGAAAAGTTGAAAACATAATGAAGTTGGTTTCGAGGCAATGTTAAACAATTATTCATAATCCAAGTCCTTCTTGGGGAATATATATTCTGCAGAAATCTTGGAAATTTGGATGAATCAAGATACTCTGACCAATTTTTAACGATGGATTTCTTAAGATATCCTTTTGGAAGGATCATTATATGATATATAAACCACTAGTTAGTTGATATTTTTGACAGTCGACAAAATTATATGATTTTGAACGTCTGCAGCAGATCTTGCAGTTGAAAAATGCATGGCAGCTGAGAATCTCTATACGATGTCAAACTTTTTCACGAAGCTGAGGAAGCAAAAATAGATCTTGCTTCCAGAAGCAATACGATTTTCTTTACAGCTGATGATGCATATTTACAAGTTGACCATTACTAATATTATCATATCTTGTAATCTTGGTCCGATTGCAATTTGGTGCCTAACTGTACTGTTTTCTTATTTCAAATTCTTAGGGCTAAAGGCTGCTCGAGTATCATTGAGCCTGTTGAGTTCCGGCACATGCCGAAAATGATTGTTCGATGAACAGAAAGAGAGAGCTGTAGCTAGGTTTTATTGTTCTAGAAAACTTGTTTAATTTGTCAAAATAGTTTGGAACATGTCACACCAATATTACTTAATAAACAAGTAAACAAGTTGAATGAGATTTGATATATATTCTGATGCAAAAGTTGAGTTTTGCAAAAAAAATCTTTTGTAGAACCAATTTTTGTAATCAAAACTAACTTTTGTTTTCAACCGAAAGATATGATTGGGGTCTATCGAAAATGAAGGCATCTCGAGCAACCTTGTAAACTTAGAAACGCTAGAATTGCCAAGTTGTTGCTTCCAATATATTTGTTTGAAGAAAATTTGGAAGGGGTTCCTTTTCAAATTTGTTAAACCAAGTTGATTGATTTAACCAATTGTTAAAGATGGATCTCCTAGGATATTTTTCCCACTATCTGATGATTTTAAAGTCAATTAATATCTCATTTCGAAATATTGCAGTGATCTCGCAGTTGAATATATGGCAGCTGCGAAAAGAAAACAGAGCTAATAAGGAGCAAAAACAGATTTTGCTTGCATAAGCAAATGGATTTTCTTTGTGATTGATGATGCTTACAAGTTATTGTCTTCTTCTTTTGGATAGTAACTAGATGGCGCGATCTTTGACCATGAAAGCCTAGCTGTTTAGTTAGAGCAATACGAAAGTGATTGGTAGATAAAAAAAACGCTGCTGTGACTTTTTAAAATGAATAACTGCTATAATCTACGGATATGTGCGTTTCAAACTTTGTTTGCGAGCGGGTGGCACATTTCCTTGAACAACTTGCTGCCGACTTAATAGACAATCACGTTGCAATATTAAGCATTGACCAAGATTGCAATAATTTTGAAGAAATAGGAACTGCAAATCACAAACTAATGCATATACTAAGTGACTGATAAAAAACAACAAAAAAAAAGTTAAAGAATGATATGTGACAAACTGTGATTTTGTTTGTGAGGAGGTTACGTCGTCCAAGTTATATTAATCGCCTATTGGGTTGTGTACAAATTATTTGGGCGGCCCAACGAATCCAATTTTGTGAGAGAAAATGATACAAACTTTGGCCCAGCAATCAACTTAAAGCTCAATTAACATTCTGGTCCAGAACAAGGGCTAGTTTCCACCCTCCAAAATCCCAAAATCAAGAATGTTCTCCCTCCAAACTCTCAAATCTTGCAGATCACTCCAACGCCAACGTACTGCCCCCGTTCATATCCTCATTGCTTTCTTCAGGTACTCTCTCTCTCTCTCTCTCTCTCAATGTCACATTCACTTAATTACTGCCTCAATTCACTTTCCAATGATTCATTTGCAACGTGACTTTCAAGTTCACTATTTTATGTAAGTTTGTTTTACATTTTTAATCTGCATATGCTTTGCGAGTTCACTCACTCACCTAATTTGTATTTTTTGCCCAGCGTCTGATTAGATTACTGCTTTTACTGCAAATGTATCCATCAGTCGTTTTATATTGAATTTGTTACTGGATTTCATATTCGATCTCTAAGAGACAAAGATGTGAGATTAACGGTAATTGTATTTGCAGTATAGCTAATTTAAACTTAAGGGTGTGCTATCTACACATCCTAAATTACTTCTCACACACCCTTTGTGTAATTTTTATCCGTTGATCTTCTTCAATTCATCTGATCTGACGGCCGAAAATTAGAAAGGTGTGTGAGAAGTAAAATAGGGTGTGTGGATATCACACCCCTAAACTTAATGGTGTTTTTCACAAATGTTGCACGGCACTAATTCATCCCCTTAGGCTAGTGAAACTGAATTGGTGGCATTCCGTTGTTGCACACCAGTTGTTTTCGACTTGTCACGTACTTGATCGAGAACGCTGTTGAACTCGAAAAAATTGTTCTCCACCATGATGTACATTTCTGGGACGTTCCCGCACAGAAGAGTATCGAAGAAAAGAAGAGGGAAGATGAGGAAAGAAATCGTGCTACCCAGCAGCTCAAAGCAAAAGTGCCTTCAAGAATTCAATTTGTATGCCTTCTGTAAGCAAATTGCTGCTGGTTTGGCTTTCTTGTGCTAAAGGCTTGACAATTAAGGTTGAGATAGCTAGTCAGTTTGTATTTTACAAGACGACATTCCAAACGGTTATAATCTATTTTGAGGGGGGTTTCGAGCTTAAGTGCGACACAACTTTAATCTACAACAATTACTGTTTGTGCTATCTCAATGTCGAGTCTATTCAATTTTAAAGCCCTTTACATTCTAATATTTCAAAATTATTAATGACATTGGGGTACTTGTGCCAAAAACATGGCCATATAATTGAGAGTTTGCTTTTTCACATGCCCTAAATGATGGCAGTTTGTATGGCGCGGGTTTCAACTCTTGGTTTTAGATGTTTGTAAATTCTAGATAAACTAATGGAGCTCTGGTAATTCCCATAAGAACATTGGGTGAAACATCTGGTAATTGCTAATTACTGCGCCACATGCTGACGGGTCAACAGGCTCAATGATGGATTATGACTAACTGTTAAGGGTATCATTGCTGCAATTTGCAATGTAATAACATTCTTCTACTAATCATGATTATCAACTCAAAACATCTCACTTAGCATTGATCTTCGAAGTTTGAATTGCTTTTTCTATTTTCTTTTCATCGGTGGTGGTTGGTGTTGGAAAGTGATAATTCAATCCAAAAAGTTTGAGGTATTTCTATTTCAAAGTTTCAGAGTCAGTTCAAACCGACCACTGTTACTCCATACCCTTTTATTTTGAGTTTCAAGAACACCCTTTTTTATTTGCATTGTGAGAATTTGATTCAAGTGTCCTAACTCGAGACTTCAGACTTTTCAATATGTTGAAAATTATTTGTGCAATGCAATGGATGTGGGTTTTTGTACAAAACCCGTAATGCAAGTATTACTAAAACCATTTAATACGAGAAGGATTTAACTTCATTAGATTTTCGATATGGGATCACACTTCAACATTCTACTACATTTAAGAGTATAATTCTTTAATTTCATTCAATTGTATGATTTAATTTATAGAGTTATCTTATGAAACAATTCCAGCAGCTATACAATTATTTATTATGTAAACTCCTTTCATTAGGATCCAACTGACTATGCTCTTCCAAAACATGTAAATCCACAACTTCTGTTAATTCTAAATAAAGAACGAATAAAAACAGTGCTGCAAATGCTCACTTTTTACCTAATCCTCAATCAAAACCACTATAAACATGTCATCTGTATTCAAATATGTGTATGGAACTCTCTGCAGGGAGAAAAAAGAGTTGAACCTTTTTGAACTGGCAGAACCAAGGTTTCATTAAAATATTACTGAATTTGCAGACCCAACATAACCAATCCTAAAGTTCATGGTTAATTCCTAACCGTAGAGGCCAATGCAGGAAATCATGCGTCCACATGGCGTGTAAATTTTTGGAGACAGTTTTGTCAGTAAGTTTTGAGTGTCAACACCATTATGTGGATTACTTATTTGCTTATGTTATAATACGTGTATGATTTTTAACACTAAAATATAAATTAAACGACAATCTGTATCATAACATGAAAATTAAATTTCTCTTTCAGTAAATGTTTAAAAACATGAGAGATTATTATTATACAAGTTACAACTGGGGATGTATGCTCTCTCTCCATCTAACTCGACATGTCATAAAACGAGTGAGATAGAGAAAAGGCCATATCACTGGTTATGAATACCCTATGATTTTATGCCATATATATATATATGTGTGTGTGTGTGTCCTGGAGTCGACTCTCAATCTATACGAGCATGGCAGGTTATAAGTGGGTTTCCGATGAGTGAGATAGAAAAAGAATATATCACGGACTATATGTAAGATTTCATTTCATCTTAAACAGTTAGCTCTTGCCAAGTCGGTTGAAGTTCTAAATGATACCCTGTGATTGCTGGAATTGGCCCCAATCTATATGTGCATGGCAGTTTATTCCAAATGGGTTCCCTGACTTCATCAGCCATCCAAGAATATATAGAGTCCAAAAAATTGCATACAAGTGCGGTTTTCTCAACACGTCATATATCTAAAAAAAAGTTTAACATCATGCACAAAGAATCTCTAGTCTAAATACAGCTACATCTTTTTTCAAGTTGGCTGAAGTTCCAAAAGGATACTCCATTATTTCATGCAACATGATGCGCTGGAGTTGGCCCCAATCTATGTTTGCATGTCAGGGTTCCAAGTGGGTTCTCTGACTCCTTCAGTCATCAAAGAAGATGGGGTAGCTGCGGTCTGTGGTTTAGTTGTAGAAGATAGAGTTCATGGCCCCATTTTTTTTGCAGCTTTTATAAAAAATTCTTTTATGTTTCAAAATATTTTATATTATTAAATTTATAGCCCTTAAATAAAAAATCTTTTTATTTTTCGAATAGTATTAAGTGGATTGGTGAGTATTACCACTACTTAAAATAATTTTTTCATTGTGCTAAGAACACGGTTCAGTATATGAAGTGTCATAATACAATTTTTTTAAAGTTTTCAACTAATTGTATTATTATCCCATATTCTCTACACATTAAAAAAATCTCTCCACCACTTAAGGGTGGTGAGCAAAAATGCACCTCATGATAAAAATTTGTCACCACAATGAATTAGGCAAACAAAGTAAGCAAAATTATACATATATTCATCTACAACAGCTGCCATTATCTATTGGTTTTGTCATCTTCCTCCAAAAAAAAATATTTACTATGAAAAGAGATGTTCGACTTCATTTGCTTACTCATAGTATCGCAGGTAACATTGTTTACTTTAAGATAGTAAGCAAAATTTACAAATTTAATTGTTTATATCATTAAAATTCATTTTCAGCTGTATACTTCGTCAAAACAAATTTGCGTATTCAAATACCTAACCCTTAGCTAACTGTCAAAAATCTCGAGGTATATACTTAAAAATCATTTTTTTTATGCCCTAGAATGTAGACAAACAAAAACAGAATAAAAAAGCATGATTAGGCACAGAATTTGGTGACATGAAAAACATATTTGGGCCATGTGGGTTGGAACTTGTAAGGACATGACATATGGGACATCATACTATTTCTGAGAAAAATAAAAGAATCCAATCAATCACTGCAAGGGTATGTGTCCTCCCACTTTAGGGTTTGTACTTTATTATGGACAAGGATTGTCTGCTCTTTGCTTCTGGTGTTCTTTTTGTGCCCTTCTGTTTGTATGATTACGATTAAGTCCATCAACATTTTATATTACTATTCATTTTTATCTTATTATATCTATAAAAAATAATATAAAATATTGACGTGGTTTAACCGTGACCACACAAAACATGAGAACATCGGAAGTGGAGCGCAGACAATCCTTGTCCCATTATTATTCCCTTCTCTAATTATAACCTAATTTTTTATCATGCATTTGACTGTTTGTTTTGATCACTAAATTGACTCGCTTGTTGTCCTGATTAACTTTAAAACCCTAATTCCCCTTTCAATACTGTCATCATTCCTTTGTCGTGGCCCACTTGGATCACATGCATATAGTGTTTGTATATTACAGTGCCTCAGTGACAGTTGCCTCCAATCATGTCATCGTATTATCTTAACTATGCTAAAACCCTATGCATATTCTTAATCATGCATGATTGTACAATTTGGGCCGTTTGATCTGAAAAATTCTTATTTATTTCAATTGTCATGTGTACGAGAAGATTGTCACCGTAGCAACATTACAAATTAATGAAAGAAAACTGAACATTTAGCATCAACATGAAGATTTAGAATATCGTTATAGTAATATTCGTGTTGTATATATGTTTCTTTAAACATAAAATAAAATTTATGTACGATTATCTGATTATGATAACTATTAAATGAAATCAAAATACAATAATCTCTATAATGACGGGGTTGGTTCTCACGCACAAATTTTCTCCTTCAATCATTTATCCACGTCGACATCTTGGGAAAGATATGCACCGTCTTACTACAGTCCTGCTCTCGAGTCTCTACATATATAAATACAAAGGTAGCTGGTGTTGAAATCTTCCAAGGAAAGGTAGCTAAGAAAAAGAGGAAAAACCAACCTCCAAAATCTCAGTATATACTTTCACCTCTCTTACTTTGTAGGCCTCAAATCATCTCACATTAAGAGTGTCAATGGTTCCAGTTAGCAGTCGAAGTTCTAAGAAAGATGTAAACAGAGGCTCCTGGACGGCAGAGGAGGACCAAAAACTTGCTCAAGTTATAGAAATCCACGGTCCGAGGCGTTGGAAGTCCATTGCAACTAAAGCAGGTTTTCGTATATCTAACGCTCATTTGATAACCATTTCATGTTTAATTTTTCTCATAGGCGTAGAAGGCTTAAAATGTCTTTTTATTTTTGCAGGTCTTAAGCGATGTGGGAAGAGTTGCAGGTTAAGATGGATGAACTATCTTAGACCTAATATTAAGAGAGGCAATATTTCAGACCAAGAAGAAGACTTAATTCTCAGGCTTCATAAGCTTCTGGGAAACAGGTAAGCAATTCATTAATCTCATATTTTGATAAAGCGATAGTTTAATCTTCCCTAATTTACAGAGAAGAAAATTCAAATTTAGGAGTATAGAGTGCGGCGCATTGCCCTGACTAGTGGACTTAACTTACATTTACAATGTTTTTGTGTTTGTTAAACATTTAGTTACAGTTTTACTTGCTTGCTTATGAATATAGGTGGTCGTTGATTGCCGGAAGACTACCTGGTCGAACAGATAACGAGATCAAGAATTACTGGAACTCTCATTTGAGCAAAAAGATGAAGCAAAACAGAGCAGTTTCAAAGACAGTGCAAGGGTCCACAGAGCAAAAGAATATCAAAGCAAACGACGTGAATGCTTTAACAATTGAAAGAGAAGACGCCTTTAAACTTGAGGAGAACTTCAACTTCGGTTTCAATGGCGGCCAATTCTTCAACTGCTCGAGCAGCGAACAAGGGCCTCTGAATTTGGAGTGGATGAATAAATTCCTTGAAATGGATGAGAGTTGGTTTACTTTGCATGACATTTGAGCTATGTTTTTATTTTCATTTATTATTTTATTTTCTGTGTTCATGATAGTTGTTAGGGATGCATTTGTGAGGCCCTTTTTGCTAATTTTAGGAAAATCCCACTTCATGTTTGATCCTTTTGTATGTAGTTTCAATTGAGGTTTATTTTCCTTTAATTAACAAATCATGTTTCGGTGTTACAATCCTTTATATATTATGCAGATATTTTAGCATTTTTTCGTCTGTGAGTGATTGAATCTAAGAAATCTTTTAGAGAAGAAAGTGGTTGATTTATCGAGTTCGGTCAGATTTGTTCTTTTAATTTTATTTGTTTGCAAAACCAGAACTCAAGATAGGTTTTTGGAAAAAGTGAAATAACTTTCACTGTTTCAAACATCTTGAAAGGTGATAAGATGAGTAAAAGCTGCATAAAATGTCGGCTACATCTTCCTTGCAGAAATTCTTGGATACAGCTGCGATTACCACATTACTCATATGCTCAAGACACACAAGAACCAAAAGTTACACTCTTCTTTTGTTAGTGTTGAATGAACGGGTGACACGACATGAGCTGCTCTACAAAAAATCTTTCATCACACTGAGACTTGCTATAAATTCATATCATAGACCTTATTCACATTATTTAATTGATCAATCCGGTAAAAGACAAGTGATTTTTGTGCTTTCAATTTCTTTCATACACTCCTTCTAGAGACTTAAAATTTAATAAATCAAAAGGGAATTAAAGGAGAAAAATAGTGAAATGAGTGCAGAGTAAGAAAATGAGGTCACAATCACGATAAATAACATAATTTTAGACTTAATTTGAAAGTAGTTTTATTATAAGAAATCGCAGCGATTTTGAATATGACACAGCGGAAGTTGTAAGAAAAGGGATCACGAACGGTCTCCCTTGAAAGAACTCTGGAATTCTAGTAGCTGTGAGAGAAACTCTCGTTTCAGAATTGGTATTGATTAAAAAAAACTGTCCATTACAAAGCAAACGAACATATTATAAAGACTTGTTTCAAGAAAATGAAAAGACAAGCAACAATAAATCCTCATTGATCAGGAAAGACCCTCTAAATGACTAGGGATTTTTCTAAACTGTTCGCATCATGAAGCAGTTTTTGTTCGCATCATGAAGCAGTTTTTGTATGCCTACGTCAGAATATTTTACAATCTTTTTTGCAAACGATATTAAATATTAAATATTTTACAATCGGCACTTGATATTAAGTATTTTAACCATCTACACTCGATATTAAATATTTTACAATCTTTCGTGCACTCAAATTACTTGAAGATTCTACGTTTAGTCGAATCTAGTTATTAGGCAACAATTTCAGCATCTTATATCCTCTGCAGTATGATTGGGGCTCCATGTTTTGGCTTAACGGAAATCGAGATAACAGGAGCATGAGTGTAAGAAGGTGAGAGCTCAAGTGAAAAATGCTGAAGAATCATCGCCAGAGCTACCTTTCCTTCTAACATAGCAAAAGTTTGCCCTAGACATAATCTAGGCCCCCACCCAAATGAGAAAAATGCAGTTTGATCCTTTGATGCCTTCACAACTCCTTCGGAAAATCTCTCTGGGTTGAACTCCTCAACATCTTCACCCCAATATTTTGGATCGTGATGTAGAAAAAGAATCGGAAACACGAAATCAACCCCAGCTGGGATGGAAAGGCCTCCTACATTTGTTTTCTGGTGGGTGTGCCTAAATAGAAGAACTAGAGATGGATATAGCCTCAAAACTTCGGTCAATATCATCGTCACCTGCAAAAAAAAAAGAAAAGAAAAAAAAATCGAGTAACAAAGTAAGACATTTATTGAGCACATTGTGAATCGCCTTTGTAAGAGATATGAGTCACGAATAATTAGTAAATGTAGCATTACTCGTGCAGGAAAAACTTACGATTTTGAGGTGTTTTATGCCATCTAAATCAGGTGTTTTCTTTCCAAACACACGGAGGACTTCTTCTCTTGCCTTTTCTTGCCAGTTTGGATGCATGCATAACAGAATCATCGTCCAAGTCAACAAGGTGGCTATGCTTTCTTGGCCAGCAAAGTAGAATGACTTGCACTCCTCTATGACATCCTCAATTGTCATACTATTTTCCTCTTGTGCTTTGCATTGTAACAGTAAACCCAACAAATCATTATTTGCACCCACTTCACCATTTTCCATGGCTTGCTCTTTCTTCCTGATCGTAGCCCTTAATATTGCTTTGATTTCATTGTCCACCTTATACCTCAATCTGTTCTTTTTGGTGGGTATGAATCTGCGCAGAGAACAAAAACTAGCTGTTTTTTAACAAAATCCACATCTGCTCTTCTTTACTAAACACAAAAACAAAGCCAAAGACAAATAAAATTACACTACTAAAAATACCATCCATAAACCCTAAACTATGTTTGATGTTTGACATAAAAACTTAAAATTGCTTTTAGGTTGTACAAGTATTTTCTAGAGAAGCATTTGTACGTCCTTATTCAGAAAGCACCTTCACGTGTCTTTGTTTTTTTAGAAAGCACTTTCAAGTGTTTTTTTTAAGAAAGCACTTGACTCCTTAATAAAAATTTCTACAAATTTATAATAAAAACATTTCTAGCAAAAATGCCAAAATGACCTGAACCCTGGGAAATAGAAACCATAATAGGCTTCACGTGATAAAGCGGCTTGCTTTTTCTGAAGCTCAAATAGCTTCCCATCTTCAAAGCTGCCTCCAAAGGCCGTTAGAGCTATAACTTCACTAATCAAATTTTGAAATTCTGGTGCCACATCTACTTCCCTTGATCCTTCAACACCAATTAACTTTTCCCATCGATCGATCATGCCAGAACAACCGGTTACAAATGAAGTCTCCATACCCTGTCACATTTTCTATAACAATCAGAATGTAGAAATAAAATTTCACATATGACTTTATAAGGGCAGTTTTTAACATTTTTAGTTTTCATTTTTCAAAACAAAAAACTTAACTTTAATAAAAATTAAAAAATTTAAAACAACATAATTATGCTTAAGATTTTACCATTAATTTCTCAAGGTGGAAAGCAGGATTGATGATCCTTCTGCGTTTGGTCCATTGCTCTCCTTCCAAGGTTGAGACGCCCAATTGCAGAAGTTTCACAAGTGGATTCAGTGGTGGCATTATGAAATGCCCATTTTTGTTTATTAATATATCCTTGATTAGCTCTGGGTCTGTTACTATTAGCCTTGGCCTTGTTTCCATCCACCCCAAACTCACTTTTCCTAAACCAATTAAAATATATGGGATCAGTATGTATAAAGTTTGTTTGGAAAGTGAGTTTCCCGAAACACTTTTCAATTTAAAAAAAAAAAAAAAACAAACAATTGTATATGTACTAACGAGAGGTGAGGGAATGAGCTAAATTTTACAATGAGTTTACCTTAATAATATGGTTTAACTGCATCTTTAGTTACAAAAACGTTAAAATTTTTATTAAATTTCCTCATCCAAATAGAATCATGAATTTTCACATACTAACACAACCTTACCGTCAAATAAAAGCGTTTCAGGCAAAAAAAAAAAAGAAAAAAACTTATGAGCATAAGTTTTTACGAATTACCATATTTTTGAACCATTTGATGAAAATATGGGAGGACACGTGGAGCAATCTGGTGGTTGAGTGACATGGGTTTGGACCATGCTTCTCTGCTGGACGTGCTCATTTCTTTCATGTCATCATGGAAAAGCTTGTAAGATCTGCCTCTGATGCCTTGCTTTCTCAACTGCTTCTCTAAGCTTCTGGGTCTTACCCAATAGACATGAACAACTCTCAGAACCAAATACAGAATTACAGAAACCAAAGAAAATACCAACATTTTGATCAATAAGAAGTAATCTTCCATCTTTGTTTTTTCCTCTATTGCTAGCTGGTTGAAGGAACTGAAACCAACTTGTGATGAATTTATAGGTCCAACACAAGTGGTGCTCAAAAATCATAATCCCACAAACTGACCCTTAGTTTGGCTGAATTGCATTGATAGTCTCGATAATTTAATTGGATTTTCACTTTCATCTGTGTTTTTTTAGGGATATTTAAACTTTAATTGTTGAAAAAGGTTGAAATTTAATAAAAATTGGGTGTTAGATTACATGTCATATCACATATGAATTGACATTTCGATTGAAAAATATTTATGTTATTTTTTTTTTCACAATAATAACTGATGTGGACTTTTGGACATTTTGTTTAGAGATGCTATAAAAAATGTAAGAAAACAAAACTGCAAGGACCAGAATGCAACAACATAAAACTAGGTAAACGAAAGTGAAAATTCAAACAAGCAGCAAGACTATTGTTGCAATTTGGCCCGCTCAGATATTTGCCATATTGGTACAGAAAGTCAAAATAATCCACTTGGTTTTTCTTTTTTTATTATTTTTTTACCCACCTTGTACGGATATATAATATATATGTATGTATTCAGTATTAAACTGATCGACGGGCAACAATATTTATGTAAACAACAAAAAAATAATTTTGCTATTGACGTAAGCAATCATATCATCCCATCTGATTGCTTTGTAAATATAACATATATATGAAGTCAACTAAAATGTTTCTTTCAGAAGAAAAAAATAATAATTATATTATTTCCCGATTTAAATTATAGTATCATGTAAAATAGCATAATGTCAAGTTCTGTTTAGAAACTAGTCCTATTATAAGCAAAAGGATGTGACAACCTCAATGTAGTAATTGCAGTATAAAATGTTGAGATATTGAGACACCTTAAATCATATATGCCAGGCGCGGACCCATGCACACGAAAATTTAAGTTATAATATGAGATTTTTTTTTTTATGTAAACGATAAAAATAATTGATATGTTATTAACGAAACAATCATATAATCCCATCTGATTGCTTTGTAAATATAACAAAGTCAGAATAATCCACTTAATTTTTCTTTTCTATTATTATTTTTTACCCACCTCGTACTGATGTATAATATATATATTATATGTATTTGGTATTAAACTGACCGACGACAACAATAATTATTTAAACAATAAAAAAAATAATTTGTTATTAACGTAAACATTCACGTCATCCCATCTGATTGCTTTGTAAAATATAACATATATATGAAGTTATCTAAAATGTTTCTTTCAGACGAAAAAAAACTATATTGTTTCACGATCTTAATCATAGCCAAGGTATTAAATATCGGTAATATCGAAAATATCGGTAGTCTGAAAACACGGAAATATCGGTAAAATATCGATATCGATAAAAATTACATGGAAACCACGGAAATTGTAAGAAAAACTTGGAAATTTTAATTGAAACTTTGCAAGATGTTTATTTAGTCAATTATCTATTAGTTTATCACAAAAAATTGGAAGGAAATGCATTGCATGATGGATTTAACTGATTTAAATTGATTATATAGCGAGCTGGCAAACATTGTGAGTGTAAAAAATATGTAGTAATTAATGAAAAAAGTTTAAAGACACCACAATTATTATATATAATGAATTAGTACAATATTTTACACTTTATATATTGCATTTTTTTTTTCTCTCAGATAACACACACAGACTGACACATAGCCTGGATATTTTGAAAGCAGGTTTGGATTTTTTTTTTCTTCTCTCGGATAACACACACACACACCCCACTTCTACACACACACACTTCAAAGTGCACCCCACTTCTACACACACACACGCAACGACACACACTGTAACAACCCAACCCCAAATTTTTTATATATTTTCGTGGTTCCCCAAATAATTATGAAATTATCGTTTTAGTCCCCTATCTTAACCAAATCTGGACCATTCATCTTGATTTCCAAATTCTCTCAAGCTACCACATGGCAGCACCCTAGCACCCTCACGTATCTCTCTCTCTCCCCACCCCGTGACCTCTTTCTCCTTCTTTCTTCTCTGCACTCACTCTCCCTCTCTCGAAGACCCTCACTATTTCACCCTTTGACCCACACCCGAGAGCACCCACGCACACCCTTCGTGGTACTCCGTCGACGGCATCGTCATCACCTTCTACACGTCGTCGTCTCTCTCTCTCTCTTTCTCTCTTTCCCGTCGCTGCACAACTCGACGAAACCCCAAGAACCTCCGGCGAGTTCTTCATGGGTTATGGTTAGGTAAGCCTCGAACCTCTATTTCCGTGTTGGTTTGTTGCTTGGATGTGATTATTGAGGTTATTTTGTCCTTTTTACCAAGGATTTAGCACGGAATCAGCCCGGGAATAGGCGCACCCATCTTCGGCGAGACCGTGGGTGTCGAGAGGTTTTCCGACCACCACGGGTCGTTTCACGGCAAATGGAAGGTATAAACGCACTCCTCTCGTCTCGTGCTTTTGTTTGATACCTAGATCGGGGTCTAGAACCCTTGTTTGTGGTCGGCCGGAGCTGTAGAAGCTCCGGCGTTCTTCTCCGAGTAGCACGGTTAAAAAAATATCGTGATATTTCCAAAATATCGCGATATTATCGATATTGCTGAAAACCATTTGGATACCTATTTAAATATCCATTACCTGAAAAACCGATAATATCGGCGATATTTCGCCGATATTATCGATATTTTCTTCCATGATCATAGCATCATGTAAAATAGCATAATATTATTATAAGTAAAAGGATGTGACAACTTCACTGTAGTAGATGCTTTATAAAATGTTGACGTATCGAGTGATCTTAGGCCATCTCCAGCCGAAAGAGCTAAACATAGCTCCGTCTAGAATTATAGCCTTGCAAAAATTATTTTTAAATGAGCAGTGTCAAGCCATACTCATATACCATCTCCAACTGAATAGGCTAAACATAGCCCTCTCAATAATTTATTAGTTTTAATTTTAGACTTTACATTTATTAGTTAATTTAATTAAATTACTAATAAATTTGAATCCATTATTGCAATTGAGGAGTTGAGTGCCAAAAAATGGCTAAGAGGAGGACTACATTTGGCCAACCTAATGCCTCTTTGGCCATATAATGGTCTGGTGGGCTTCATAGAATTATAGCCTAATCATCGTTTAGAGATGATTTTTTGGACAAATCATACAATTTTTTTGCTTTTAAACCTTTAGTCATCTCCAATGGAGATGGCATTATATCGCATATTCCAGGCACGGACCCCTGTACATGCTAATTTGGGCTATGATATAAGACTTTTATTTTATTTTATTCTATTCAAAATTAGTGATTATGGCCTTTAAGTTGGAGTTATGCTATGAAACTAAAATTTTAAACCAAATGATGTGAATATTTGATTATTTACTTAAGTGTTGATTAATATGTTTATTTCCTATTGATGATACATCATTTGTCATTTGATTTGCAAATTTAGTTTAAAATTTTAATTTCCCTAGATTATCCTTTTAAGTTATAACTTATAAGAGCTCAACCATGTGTAATAGGTTAACAACTAAGCCAAACAATAGAAAAGAGCCGGTCCCACCCTAACAACTAAGCCATTCTAAATCTTAAATCTATATGCAAGTGGTGAAAAGATGTTGAACTCTAACATGATGGCTTGAGTTCGAATCATATCAGTGACAACTTCACTGTAGTAGCTGCTTTATAAAATGTTGAGATATCAAGTTACCTTAAATCGCATATGCCAGGCACGGACCCATCCACACGATAATTTGGGCTATAATATGAGATTTTTATTTTATTTTTTTCAAAATTAGCAAGTATTGCCTCTTAAGTTATAAGAGATTTTCACCAATTGGTGGAGGACAATGACAATTAGAAAGCAAGAGCAACAAAATTGCTCTCACCATTCATTCTAAATAGTAATTGTCTTTGTGCAAGTCCATCCATTTGGAAGGAAGAAGGACAAAGGCAAGGGCGATTACCATTCACAAACATATATTTTTTAATGTTTTATTCATCTTATCCCCACATATCATTATCGTCGTAGATTTTTGGATAATTTTAACTGTTTAATTTGCAAGGGTGTTGAACTTTGTAAGATTTTTAAAGTGTGAACTTTGTAAGTTTGTTAATATTTTAAATTTTATTTGGTAATCTTTATGATTTTTTTTTAAAATTTTTTAAAATTAGATTAATCTTAACCATTGAATTCAATAATTTTTTGAAATTAAAGGCTCACAAAGAGCTATGTGGGCGGGGAAGTGGCAGATACTCGGACGTGGGGAGTTGCAAACGGTTTGGGGAAGTGGCAGATTCTCTAACGCTGAGAGTGGCAAATAGCTGCTGGGCTTCAACTCGGGCGCAAGCCCTTGCAATTGGGAGATGGATTGTCTGCCATCCCCTTTTCATACCCTCCTTATACCTTTATGTTTTGTGCGATCACGGTTAAGCCACGTCAACATTTCATATTAATTTTTTTATAAAAATAAGAAGACAAAAACAAATGTTGACGTAGCTTAACCATGACCGCATAAAACAGAATGGTATGGGGAGGGGAGGGCAGACAATCCATCTCCTTGCAATTGCTGAAGGAGCAGGTGCCCTTGCAATTGCTGAAAGGGCAGCTGTCCTTCCATTAATATCTTCGACACATGCACACACAAAAAAAAACCCGATTAACGAATTAGATTTTAAATTGATGTTCACATTCATTAATCACATTGTTAACCACATGTGTAATATTAAAGATGAAGACTTATTTTATATGTTATAGTAACTAGTAAGTAGTTGTGGTACATGTAACATTAAGTAGAAAACGACTTACAATCTTAAGGTGATTTAGGACATCTAAATCGGATGTGCTCTTTCCACACACACCTAGGACTTCTTCTCTTGCTTTTTCTTGCCAGTTGGATGCATAGATAAGACAATCATAGCCCAAGTCAGCCAGTTGGCTGTGGTTTCTTGGCCAGCAAAGTAGAACAGCTTTCACTCCTCTATGACATCCTCAATTGTCATGCTAGTTTGCTCTTGTTCGTTGCATTGTAATAGTAAGCCCAGCAAATCATTTGCAGCCTCATCCCCATTTTCCATGGCTGCTTGCTCTTTCTT